CATGCATTCATGCACACATACATACATACATACATACTTGCCGACATACATACATACATCGATCCATGCATACGTGCAGCCACACATACATACATCGATACATACCTCGACACATAGATACATCGATTCATACATTCATACATACATACATACAGACATACACACATACATACATGCATGCATACATACATACATACATACATGCATGCACGCATGCATGCATGCATGCATGCATGCACGCATACATACATACATACATACATACATACATACACATACATACATACATACATACATACATACATACGTACGTACATACATACATACATACATACACACATACATGCATACATACATACATGAACGCATTCCTGCATGCATATATACATCCACACGTATACACATGCATGCATGCATACACACGCATCCACATGCATCCATACATACATACATACATGCATGCATACCTACCTGCCTACCTACCAACCTACCTACACACATACACACATACATACATACACATACATACATACATACATACATGCATGCGTGCATGCATGCATACATGACAGCCATCATCATACATGCATACAAACATACACATACATACATGCATACATGCATACATGCATACATGCATACATGCATACATGCATACATACATACATACATACGTACGCACAACCATGTATACAAACATGCATACACGCATATCTCCCTCCTTTCCTACCTACCTACCGACCTACCTACACCCATACACACATACCAACATACATACATACAGACAGACATACAGACATACATACATGCATATACACATACACACATACATACATACAGACAGACAGACATACAGACACACAGACAGACACACAGACATTAATTACATACATACATACATATATACATACAAACAGACATACACTCATACACACATGCATCCATACCTACATACATACACACATACGCACGCACGTACGTACATACATACCTATATATATATATATAGATACACATAAATATTGATTACGGCCCCGAGGCCAAGGGAAGACCCCCGGAGGCCGCCAGCCGGCCGGGGACGGCGGCGGCGAGGCCGCCCGTCCTCCACGAGGACGTGCAGCCACACCTCCGCGCGCCGACGCGCCCCGCGGCGCCCCGCCGCCGCCGCCGTGGCCGCCGTGGCCGTCGCCGCCGCCGCCGCCGCCGTCGTCGTCGTCGTCGTCGTCGTCGTCGTCGTCGTCGTGCGCCCCGCTGCCGCCGTCGGCCGTCGTGGCCGCCGCGGCCGTCGCGGTCGTCGTCGTCGTGGTCGTCGTCGCGGTCGTCATCGTGATACAGTCACGGCCGGACCACAAGAAACCATCCACAAGAAACCCAACCCTGAGACCCCAGGACGTCCGTTGATGTTTGGTGCGGGGACGTCACGCGTCCACCCAGGGCACCCTGGAGGCAAGCAGTGTGTTTCTTGGCATGGGTCTCCACTGCAATGGTCGTGGTCGTGGTCGTCGTCTTGATCGTCATCGTCGCCCCCCCTCTCCGATGTCTGCGGGGGTCTACAGAACCGCCAGGGCCGCTGGAACCCCGGGAAAGGCTGAGAATGTCCAGAAGCTGGTATCCTCACGCTTCGACCCTGAGCACGCCTCCTTCGGGAGGCCCCCCAGCGCTGTGATGACTTCGCGTGTTAGCGGCGCGCACAACGAGATAAGGGGAGGGGGGAAGGCTTCTTAGAAGGAAACTGCCTCTTAGAAGGCACCGGCCTCACATTGACAGACACGGCCCGCGCTTTCTTAGGAAGCAGGGGTGCTCCTAAGAAGCCTTCCCCCTCCCCCTACCCCGCCCCTCTGCGCGTGGCCGAACCCTGAGATCCGACAGGTGCCAAACATTAAAACATCGCGAGAAGTCACGACCAGAGTCCTAGGCCCCATCTTTCTGCGCCATTCTTCGAGCTGGCTCGATCTGCGAAGGCCCCGCGGCCCGAAACCGGACAGAACCTCCCGGCTCGAAAGCTTGCGTCGCTAGGATCCCAGGGAACGTGGGCCCCAGGTCTCGATCCCCGCGCCAGCGCATTCAGCTCGGAAGTCTTCCTCCTCTGAGTGCCCCCTCCTCCCTCCTCCTCCGCGGCCGCCTTGTTTGTCTCAGTCTTCTCTCCTGCCCGCCGGACAATTCGCTCGTCGGTAGCCCCGTTGAGCCCGACCGCTGCTGCAGCAGTTCTGCCCTGCCGCCGACGACACAAGTGTTTCGGC